ATGCTTTGGTACGGATTATCCTTTCTCCTTAATCACACCGTCATCTGCTATTATCCTCCAAATAAAAAGGTATTTTTTGTACTGTGTATCTATTCAGGGTTTACATCCTGCTTTACCATGCTTCACTATGTTTTACCATGATATTCTTGGGAATTTGTGCACTTTATTACTCTGTTACCACTAAATACGACTCCAACGTTTTCAGGGGTTATAAAGCTGTTTGAGCTGCACGAACTGCCTGCCCTAGAGACGTGATAATGATTGAATATATTATTGTTTTACTCAGCGTATTTCCCGGAGCTAAACCCATGAGTGCCTCTAATTGAATTTTTATTTGTAATATAACTTAATTAAGAAGGATACACAATGGGTAGATACAGTAGATACATTCATCTTTTTATGTAACATGTTTATAAAAAGATTAATGATCCTGAAAAATAATTCACTGTAACACATTTTGCTCAAAGGGATGTTAAAGCACAATCATAATAAATCAAACATGTTTTGGTCTTGGCCTACCCATACCATTGTACCCAATCTCTGTACTTGATATGTGTGTTTGTGCCAAAAGCCTCAAATTAAACAGCCAGCCCTGATAAAAGAGAAGCATAGACTGTAACTTCATAAAATTGTATGCTGGGCGAACACTTGTTTTGGCTCTGTATCCCCATAGAAAAGATTCGGCCAAGAGCAGGCAAGATGGACATAAGGGAAGCAGTGACTGAAAAGGTTTTGTCGGTGGCTGTTCTGAGATTGTATGACAGTTCAGGGCCTGATGATTTGCTACAGGGCTGTTTTTCTTCATCCTGAAGTCACTTTGAAGTGTCACAGTCCACCTGGTCAGCACACATCCGTCCAGCACTGTGGCGGAGAGAGGCCTTTTAAAACTCAAACACAGGCCGTGTCTACAAGGAGCTGCGCAGAGAGCTCAGTGCATGGTCTCCACATGAGAGTCCTAATTAATCAAATAAATGATACAACAGCAAATTGAATTGCTGATGAGCCCCAAACAGGGCTGCTCAGCAGGATTGAAACGTTTTAAGTGCTGGTAAATTATGAAGCTACTGAAATAGAAAGGGTTAACATTAAAGTTGTTCCCCAACAATTATGTCATTATAGGCTTTTTATCTAGCCATTTACATTAATGAAGGTTTTTATTTCTTCTCTCCTCTCCTAAATGTACAGTTGAGAATTAGCACTCTGGTTTGTCTGTATCAGGCACTAACAAAGAGCTATAAAAACAGCTTATGCTAACAAAAAGAAGCCACATCATTATTCATCAGACACTTGCAAAAACCACATTCATTTCAAAATACTGTCAGGAGGATGAGGAAATTCTTAAATTTCAAAATTATCATGATTTTTAGGCCAAAGACATGGTTCCTTAATGAAGGGCCTCTTTTTGGCTACTGTTTCAACATAATTGAAGCTTTTTTAAACACTCGCTGAGAACAGATTACAGAAAGCTGTAACTGAACTGACTGTGATTTTCACTTTGTTTATGTTGTATGAACCCATGCTTCTCCCAGATAAATTAAACACACAGTGTTTCCAGAGGGATGAAAATCATTTGTTCTGGGAAGAAAAACTGGACAAAACCGGGTTGTTTTTTTTTTTCCATTTTGGATTTTCAGTAAAGAAAAGGTTCTGAACATCCTAAGTGATATTTAAAAAAAACTGCCACTAGCAAAATGTGGAGGTGTACAGTATTTTCCAAATGATTTCCGGAATAACATACCTGAAACAGCAGCAATGTGAGCAGCTCGGTGAATTTGGCGACAAAGGCCCACGTGGGCCCATGTGGGCTGTTTGCTGGGCCGGCGGTCCCTCACAGCTGTCCTCTCTCTTGCCATTCCAGGTGGGACAGGGGAGCGCGACAGAGCCGCCGCCAACCATGAGGCCTTCCTGCTCATGGCCAACACCCAGAGTGACATGGAGGACTGGGTGAAGGCCATCCGCCGTGTCATCTGGGCGCCTTTTGGAGGAGGTAAGGCCGGTAATCCCCCTGTACCCCCCAAAAGTAAAAGCTGGAGTGCTTCTGCTTAGGGGTCCATGCTTCAGATACCACCTCGACAGTGAAATGCCAGGAGCGCTCTTTGTTCCTCGAAGATGCTACTCCCTGCCCAGCCCACCCAGCACAATACAGGAGGAGTGCAAAAATATCCGCACAAGGTTCAACAGGCTCCATGCCACTGAGCCTGTCATACAAGCAATGCGCCGTCTGCATTTCCAGGCAGGAGGCTACAGATAGCTCACTATTTATAGCCAGAATATAGAGCAGCTGCTTGTAATGCTTAACTTCCCATTGAACTTCAAGAGGAAAAGTACTCGTGTCTACTGTATTGTGAGCAAACCTGATTTTAGAACCAGCTGAAGTAAAGCAGTAAAGTCAAAGGTTTTTCAGGACCAGAACCTTTCAGGACCACATAATGGAATAGATTGTATTGTGGGTAAACAGTAAATCAGAAGCATTTTCTGGACATACTGTATGTAATGAACGCACTGATTTACCAGGTCATTCTGATAATGATTCCAAGGCTTTAATCCAACAATGATCTGATCGTGTGTCTGGTCACCCCTACGGGTGACCCCTTTCTCTTCCATTACTTTGTCCCCATGTGCTCTGAGAGCTTCCCAACAGACCCAAGCAGTGTACAGCAGCAATACGATACAGTGACCAGGCAGCGTTAGACTTCCTGAACCTGAGGGGAGAAGTACTGTATATTTGCTGATGTTCAAATTTCCCACCTCAGTATACAAAGCATGTGGCTTAGCAGGCAGCCTCTACTACACCCTTCAGTTTCTGCCATTAAAGACGTCAGTGCTTGTGACTGCTCGTGCTCATCATTACACTTCCAGCACCGCCTTTGCCCAAAACCACTCGAGAGTCAATTCTTTCTGTTACATACAAAAGCAGACAGTAGCATGGGAAAAGGTGCACTGAGGGGGTATACAAATGATCCTCATATTTCCTGCTGTTGGAAGCTTGGGGTTCAGCTATTTGAAATAAAAGGTTGCAATGTTTTTGCAGTTTCTTTATGTCACATGTAACAGAACAGCAGTGTTGAATAAGAAAAGAGGTTTATATTGAGCGTGTTTATAGAAGATGATATCTGGGGAAGTTACAGATGCAGTATATACTGTACAGTACTTGGTGTTAGCATGTGAGAAAGCTGCAGAATCCGAAGCTTATACTGTGACTGTGACTTTATTTCAAGGAATGTCTTGAGACCATCCCCTGTCATCTACAAATCTGCACTGCTGCAACGTTTGTGTGCAGGTTTTTTTGTGATATTGCCACCTCTCTATTGGGGTCTTTATTGGGATAGCTGGGGATCCAGTTGAATGTAAAAAGAGACCAGGGCCTGCAAATTTAAACTATGAGTGAACACAACTGGGGCATTTCAATGTGGATCGGAAGCCCATTCAGGAGAGTTTCTTGATGTTGAAAATCAGAATGTGACGGCCACTTTATTAGGCATGCAGGACAGGAATCAAATGTCCTGAGGACTTAGTCTCCATTTTGCCTGTGGCATACCAGAGTGCTCTTACCACAGCTCACAGAGGGGCAGCGAATGCTTCTCAGTCCTCCTAGTCATCAAGAATAGAACTGATATTCTAATAGTGCTTAAACGTATTGCATGCAGAAATGCCCCTTCCATAACTTGTGACCTACTGTATAGCCAACTGTTATTTATGTTGGCTGCAGAGGCGGGTTACAGGAATTAAAGGCAAGATAATACCTGCCCACTCTGTTGCCTGCAGGGCTGGCTTCAGAGCCCTTTTCATGGGCTTTTCAGACACATTGCTGTGCAACTTATGATTAACCTGTGGTCGGCTGCCAAGGTAATAACAGATGTGCTGCTGAGCATTGATGTAACGTTTTCCTACTGAATGCTGAGCTGACCTGGATTAATGCAGAAGAGTCCAACCTGGGGCTTCTGGGGTCTGGGATGTATCTCATGCCTGAAGTGAGGACCTTGCTTCTGTGTAGCTCTTGTGCTCTGGTTCAGTGTGACATTTGTGCGGTTTCTGGTAACTGTGGGGCACACCAGGGCAGTGAGGAAGCCCAAGGTAAGGGAGCAGAATTACAAACACACAGGCTTATGAGGGGAAGAAGCTTTGCTTGCTTTTGTCTTACCTAGTGCTTGGCTGCAGTTGGTCATTCAGTGTCAGCCTGTGTAAATTGTTTTCTTTGGAGGATTTGTCTGATAGGCTTTTAAGTTGTTTCTGATTGGTGTGTTTCTTTAATTATTCAAGATTAAACAGCATGTGGACAACTTTTAAAGTAGTCCGAATAATTTGTATTTATTAAATTTTAATTTCAATATTAAGTTCAAATGGACACTTTATTTATTTGTGCACTTTTTCTGTTCATGCTGGACCAGCAATTTTCAGAATTCATTACAGTGACCGAAGAAAAGATTGTGCTCTAGAACAAAAAAGCCTTCTGTGTTTTCTGAGCTTCACACATTATTTCACAAAAAGGATCATATACATCCACTTTTATTCCGTTTCCTAAGTGACATTTTAAATAATAAATGCACTTCAAATATGCTTCACAGAGATGCATAACTGAAAATATAAGTACTTGAATAGGTTAATATTGGATGATGGACTTGAAAGTTTCATGACTTTGCTAGACATTTATCAAGCTGCAAGAAATCTGCAAAGTGGATAAATACTATTAATAAAAAAGAATGCAAATAAATGGAGCTAATGTGGCCAAGAAAGCAAAAAGATTGCTATGCACTATGGGATAAACAGCTGTGGCCATTTCACAATATTAGAAACATAAGTGTCTTAAAACTCTTTTTAATGCTGCTTCTCATGCTTTTAGTCATGACATATTTTTGTGCTTAGTCAAGGCATATTTTGTCTAAGGTATTGAGGCAGAATTAAAGTCTACCACATGTCCATTTCTAACACTGTGAGAATACAGTTCACTTTCTGATAAGGCAAGACTTCCCAGACATCTGTAAGGACCCACCAATTGGATTTCTTGATTCTAACCTGTCTGTCTTTTAGTATCAGCCTGTTTTCTGTCTGCCTGTGCTGGACATCAGTGGCAGATGGTTTTGTGTTTGTGTGTTACTGTAGGAATATTTGGCCAGCGCTTAGAAGACACTGTGCAGTACGAGAAGAAGTTTGGGACCCGTCTGGCTCCATTGCTGGTGGAACAGTGTGTGGACTTCATCAGAGAGCGAGGCTTGGATGAAGAAGGTCTGTTTCGCATGCCAGGCCAGGCCAACCTTGTGAAGGAACTCCAGGATGCCTTTGACTGCGGAGACAAACCTCTATTTGACTGGTAGGAGAAACCTGCTTCCCATTCTAGGTCCTACAAAAGCACCTGATTTGGCTGTTGGAAAGTTCGTTTCCACTCCTTGAGAGGTACTTTTCAGTCAACAGACTGAAAACAGAAACATCACTTCTTATGTAAATTATCTCAATTAGTTAAGACCAGACATGGCATGAGCCTGGAGATCCATCCAGGACTGGAGTATTTCTCCAGTCCAGAAACGATTAATTCCTGATTGCAGTTAATGCAGTTAATATCTATATGAATCTATATTGTACATGACATGATGGGACGCATTATATTGTATATGAAGTAATTTTTACCCTTTTCACACAAATTGGTCAAAAATTCACCAATGGCTCCTGCAACCCAGGCTGCCGCTATTGTAAAACAAGTTGTTCGTATTTTTGGACATTTAACAAAGACATTTGCTCTTGGGTGTCTCACAGGTCTAGCTCTGTAGAAAGGAAACTGCTTGAAGAGTCTTAGGTGTGGGTCAGTTAATCCACTCACACCCTACAGTGTTTTACAGTAAATAAGGCTGAAGGCTTCTAGTGTTTGTAACCTTTCTTGTTGGTCTTGTGGCGGCTGATCTGAAGGGGTAAATGCAGCAGCGCAGGTGTTTTCAGGGCCTGGAAAAAACTGATCTGTGCCTCTCCTAGACGAGCCTGCCAGCCTTTTCAAGTCTGAACAGGTTTCTTCTAATTCTGTCTGCCTGTGGCTTGGCTGTGAACATGATGACTGTCCTGTGACCTCCCTCAGTAACACTGATGTCCACACTGTGGCGTCACTTCTGAAGCTGTACCTCCGCGAGCTGCCAGAGCCTGTCATCCCCTTCGCCAAGTATGAAGACTTCCTGTCCTGTGCTCAGCTGTTATCGAAGGACGAAGAGGAGGTTGGTGCGCTGCGGGCATCAACAGGGCTGTCCTGTGATGTATTGGGCTCTATAAGTAGATAAAAGTTAGTTAAGTCTCACTTTGGTCCATCAGGTAGTCTGTCACATCACCTGATGGCTCCATACGGTAACAGGAGAACTTGCAAAAGGTGGGTTCTCTGCTGCTGGTCCTGTAAAGCCAAACCAGGTTAGAGAAATCTCCCCCACCTGCAGACCCCCATCTTTAATTCCTCCTGTAGTCCAGCCGGTGCAGGGTGTATTGTGCAACACAGCAGTCATGTTCTCACCAAAGACATGCCGTCTCTTCAACACCATTCAAAACCAACATAATACAGTGTCTCCCAAATATCCTACCATTTACTTTTAAAGCCTGTGGGCTACTTTTTAAAAATCTGAACTGTACATTTCTATTTTTTGAAGGGCATACAGGAGCTGATGAAGCAGGTGAAGAGCCTTCCTCGGGCCAATTACAACCTTCTAAAGTATATATGCAAGTGAGTCCTCAGAGTCTTTGTCTTCTTGCCTCTGTCCAGTCAGAAAGAAGCAGCCCAATCTAGGTGACCTTGGGGGTTCTTTTTGACAAGTGGACTCTATCTGGACGTATTCAGAGCACACGGATTGGCTGGAGGGATTCTTGAATCATTAAACAACAATAAACCTATAAACCTATAAATTGAATAAACCTATTACTTGTTCCTTTGCAGTCTACGCATGCTGACGCAGCTACCCACCTGAATTAAACTACAGTATTACAACACAAGGAAATGGCCATATTATATTATTACATCTTGATGGCAGGCTAGGAAACAGTTGTTGGCACTGAAAGCTTGGGGAAAATATACTGAATGTCCATGGCATTTTATTTTCTGACCTGGATTTATTGCTGTTTTTATTTGCGTTGTTTCATACTACCTCTGACAGACGAAGATGGAGTGCAAATACAAAAAAAGAGTGATCTGTGTTTCTTCTTTTAACTCACTATCAGAAATAGCAGTTCAACTTGAAATAGACTCTAGAAGACCTCACATGTCACTGCACAAGACAGTTCACATGTCAGAAGCTCAGCAGAGTCTCGATCACACTGATTCAGAACGACTTCTCCTTTTTTGCTCTTTCAGTTTCTATAAGTCTGTCAAGCTTGGGACTTTGAGACACACATCCTGCCCACGTTTTACCTTCTAAAGGCCCAAACCCGTCTATTAGAACGTCTATTCGTTTTTTGTTCTGTTTCAGTAATGCGTTGTTTTTTTTTTTGCTTTTGCATCCTGTATTGTATTTTTAGGTTCCTTGATGAAGTGCAATCCCATTCAAATGAAAATAAGATGAGTGTTCAAAATCTTGCCACAGTTTTCGGACCAAATATCCTTCGGCCCAAAATGGAAGATCCGGTGACCATTATGGAAGGCATGTCTTCTTTTTTTGTGGTATAAAAAAAATTACATTTATCACTTGGATAATATTGCATTTTTTTTTCATTTACAAAAAAACAGCTGGTTGGACTTTCTAGTAAAATGCTACAGCTGCACAGAAATGAGAAAATAACATAATTAAAGTCAACTTTAATTCACACAGAATTTTCTTCCAGTTGCAATTCAGCATTTAAATTCAATACTTTCAAATCCTTTAGAATGCTATGTCTTTATACAAAAAGAGAATAGTCTCATTAGCCTGATAAAATGTGCTTACTACCTTATAAATCAGTTGTATTTCATAGTCACAAATTCCAAACTCACACTCGTGTTTTTCTTCTGCCGTTCTGTCAGAATTAATGAGAAACGTATACTCATTATTAAAGGGGGCTGCCAAAAATCTGTACTGATAGATTTTATGCACCATCAGTCTTTGTAATGTATGTATTTCAGAATGTATTGAAAACACGTCATTTACATAAATGCAACCATTCAAACACACAAAAAAGAGTTCATGAGCCACGTAAAAATGCATCTGAAATTCGAACTCGTGATTGCTCGTATGTTTGATGTGTGTGTGGGTCTGTTCTGTGGCAGGGACCTCCCTGGTGCAGCACCTCATGACTGTGCTGATCAGCGAACACGAGCGGCTGTACGTTGGCCCCGACGCTGAAGTCCTTCCAGGTCGGCTGGAGGTCAGGGCTCAGGGGCAGCGGGGCGCGGTGGAGTGGATCTCAGAGGAGGACTTGCAGGGAGGCTGCTCCAAGGCACAGAGCTCCCACGCCAGGGAGGACCTCTGCAGCAGTGCCACCTCGCTGGATGTCAACGTCAGCACGCCCGCCACTGTGCCCAGACTGGCATCTCAGGGAACGGGAGAGGCCGCCGTGGTCAGTCCCAGTAAGCAGGTCAAATCCCTTCCGACCTGGAAGTACTCCTTCAGGAGCTCCGGAGCAAGAGCCAGTGCTGTCAAGCTCGGCGGCTCCTCTGTGGACATTCCCAACCTGTCATCCAGCGGGAACTGGCTGATGAACGGGCTGTCGTCCCTGCGTGGCCACAGGCGGACCTCCTCGGGGGAACGGGTGAAGGACTCGGGGTCGTCCCAGAGACTGTCGACCTACGACAACGTGACGGGTTCGAGCCTGAGCGTGCCGAGCGTCGCCAGCACTCCCTGGTCCACGTCGTCCTGTGAGATCTCTGTCCCCGACTCCTTGAGCAGCTGCCCCGCCTGCCGGGACAGCGACTGCTCGGGGCTGAACTGTGGGAAGGGGGAGGAGCTTGAACCCGCGCCTCGGGCACAGAGCGACAGACAGGCCTTGGACCTGGACGATAGCAGCGAGGGGCTGCAGCTCTGCCTGACCGGCGCGAGTGGCAGCGAGAGCAGCAATCTGGTGGCAGCTTCCAATGACACGGCCAGCAGCTCCAAGGCCCTAGCAAGCCTGGTCACGGAGCTAAAGGATGAGCTGAGGAGGCAGAGGCTGGAGTACGAAGCCAGGATGAGAAGGTAGGGACTGCTAGAGCCGAGGATAGTAGAGTATTTCCAAGCCCAAGTTCAGTGGGCACAGTTGTGAATCCTTGCTGGGATCCCTTGAGGATTGATGAATCTTATAGAACTGTTATCATCCTGCCACAAGCCAGCAGCTGTATCACCTTGCAGCTCTCAACTGGCAATGCACTGAAGCTCAGCAGGTGTGAGCCTGGTCGGTACCTGGAGGGGAGACTCCTGGGAAAAACTAAGGTTGCTGCTGGAAGAGGTGTTAGTGGGACCAGCGGGGGGGCGCTCACCCTGCGGTCTGTGTGGGTCCTTATGCCCCAGTATAGTGACGGGGACACTGTAGTGGGCGCCGTCTTTTTGATGAGACGTTAAACCGAGGTCCTGACTCACAGTGGTCATTAAAGATCCCCGGGCATTTCTCGATAAGAGTAAGGAGTTATCTCGGTGTCTGGGCCAAATCTCCTCCCTTGACCATTACCATGGCCTCCATATTGTCCCCATGTATGATTGGTTTGCAATTGCCCTGCGAAGGACTGGCGCCCCATCCAGGGTGTACCCTGCCTTACGCTCGTCACTTGCCAGGTAGGCTCTGGCTTCCCGCGACACCGTATGGTATAAAGCAGTTTGGTAAATTCATGGCGTGACATGACATCCTACCACAAAAGGTTGAAAGGTGGAACAAACCTGGAAAATGCGTACAGACCTGTTGATTGTACGAGTATTTCATTGGGCAAAGCAGGTGCCAGTCCTAGCAGAACGCTGGTAGTTAAAGAGCCTTTCTAAACAGTTTCCCTCATGCTGGAAGAGGGTGTTTTTATTTTCTTAAAGCCTTGCGGTTTGCTATTGTGTTCATATCGGGTCTTTTTGAGTGCATGTTTTAATCCTCAGATGTGAGTCCAGTGTGAGAATCCCGTATGTGCATCCCAGGAAATATTTAATGTTACGTTCTTCCACACGCCAAAGACAAAAGTTAGCTTAGAACTCAATTACTAGCCATCTAGCCAAACTCCCTGCACAGATTAACTGAAACAGATTTTCAGTTAAATGGGTAAATAGGATTTTTTTTTTAGTAAATAACAGTGCAAAAAACAGAGCATTCAATTCAATTATAAGGACCTCTTCTTATATGTAGCCTTTTTATCTTCTTCTGTTTTAAGGGTTGAAGACCGCTTCAGAAACCGCTCTTAAGAAGAAGCTTCTACTTTCCTGGGCGCTGAGCATGTGTGTGTGTGTGTGTGATTTTCCTGAGGTCTCGTGATTTCTGTTTGCTTCCAGGCTGGAGGAGTCGAGCGCGGCACTTTGTGAGCAGGTGGAGAGACTCGAGGAGGAGCTGGATCAGGAGAGGAAGAAGCACTCCATGCTGGAAATCAAACTGCGGAACTCGGAACGAGCGCGCGAGGATGCCGAGAGGAGGAACCAGCTCCTGCAGAAGGAAATGGAGGAGTTTTTCTCCACACTGGGGGATTTAACTCTTGGACCACGGACAAGCAAAATCTGAAAATCCTAATTACACGCCTGGGAAAGAGAATAGTTTGCATAGGACTGTCTTGTTTTTAGCTCTCTGTGCTCATGTATCATGAGTATTCTGAAGTTATTTCAATGCTGTTTTATTACAGTACTTTGTCTTCTGGTTTATATTTGCTGTTATATTGTATATCAGGACTTTTATATAAAATATAAATGTTAAAAGGTATGAGTAGATCATACTGCTCTTGCCATCCTACAGCTTTATATATGCACAACCAATGCCAAAGCATGAGTCTCATCATAGACATCTGAAGAATAGCAGCCAAGGGGTACTCTGCACATAAAGCCGACATACCACCCTAAAGAAAAATGATTGCCCTGACTGTGCCTTTTTATTGTCACTGCATGAGGAGGAGAATGCCATGTGACCAGAGCTGATTTTTTTTTTACAGTGAGCAGAGAAAATACTTGAACCCTCAGCTTCAGTTGTTTTGTTTTGCGTGTTCCACACAGGATCTTCCCAGCAGTTGGTTAACATTAGAAAGAGCAGTAGTGATGCCAGTGAAAAGCCAGAAAATGCATCAGTCTAACCAAAGATCTGGCCCTTCCTCTAACAATAGCCCTGAGACCAGTGATTCATGCCCTAAAACCCTCGTCTCTAACTTGACTGAGCCATCACCGTAGCCTAAGCCTGGTTAAAAAAAGTAATGGATCACCAGTTCATTTTCTCTGTATGCACAGTGAGCACTTATCTCCCCTGTATAGGTGGTGTCACTTCTGTAACTTGCTCAGTGCACTGAGCCCAGTTACATCAGCACATGTCGTAAAGTATTGTAGGAATGCTCACATGGGTGCATAATGTATAGGACTCTCAGCAGTAAATGAAACAAAGTGCTGTTTTAATTATGTTTTAATATTACAACCACATCTGGTGAACTGGCATGATGGATCATCATTCTTATTACCGTTCTTACTATGTCAGCTGACCTAGAAGTGAATCATAAATGTGATGAACCATATTTCCCCAAGCTGCGTCCATCAAAGGCTGGAGCAGACAAGCTGTGTGCAAATTCAGGAGGTGATTGACATTAGAGGAAGGTGCTCCTTTTGAAGTAAAAAATGTTCTAGTAATCATATCATTGTCTTCTCCAGAGGTTTGGGTACACAATCATAATTAATAATTGACTCAGGTATTTAGAAAAATGGGGGGTTTAATTCTGGTCATATTACACCTACAGTTTTACTTTCGGTGAAGGGATTTGTATAAGAGAATGGGATGAACAGCATAAGAAACCACTAATAATAAACGTCAGTATCTGAGCACTGGTATTAGTACGCTTATTTACCCCGAGGAAAGAAATGAACCTCAACTACAACTCACCACTTATGAAATACTTATAATGTAATATTTGAACTAAAATTAAATCTGATCCCAAATACAAATAAAACGAGATCCATACCTACAGACAAAAAATGGTTCAGTGCTCTTCTCCAATGACAGAGGTCAGGAAACGTGCTATTGTCTAGAGTATATACCATAGTATATTTATATATCAAACCACTAGTCTTCCAGAAATGATTCAGAACCTCATTATGCTTAACCAACACCTCCACACTACCATCAACAATACGCAAGTATTATACTGTGTGGAAACTGGAACCCAAAGGAATCTGCTTCACAAAGAAATTCACGTACATTCCCATCTTTCTTTCCTTGAGCTCGTTTTAAACATTTTGGAGTAGTCTGGATTTCACAAAGGCTCCAGCAACACCGTGTACATGAAAACCTCCAGAAATTGGGCACTAGTTTTCTAACCAAAAGCCATCTTGAGTTGTGGAAGAAATTAATAGTGGCCTTCGAGAGCCTCGCAACTCGGACAATGAAGACTTGCATTAGGAAGCCGAAGCAGGGTTTTGATTCCAATCCCCGCCACAAGTAGAACGTCTCCAGTGCAGCTGGCAAACCATCACATTAGGATGAGCGTCAGGAGCGCTCGTACTTGTTCACTGCGTGACCTCACACAATTTCTCAGGTGCACTATTACGTTGCTCTGCTGATAAAAGCCTCTTAAAAGGAACCCATTTCACTGCAGCTTCTGACAATCCAACACTAAAAATGACTCAAAGCTGGCAGGTTCAATTCAGTTGTTTATTTGCAGTACATGTCTTTAAGGTTTGCATTATTGGATTCCAGTGCACACATTCCACCCGTGCACATTTCACAGCCTGTGTATAGTTTACCCAGAACAAGGAATTGTAACCACCCACAGAGCCGGCCTCACAAGCAAACAATACAGACCAGCACCCAGAAGTACATCAGCTTGTTTTAGGCATTTTTTTTTTCTCCTAAGTTGTACCTTACCATCTACAGATCAAAATCTATCTGGCCATGCACAATATTCACCCACTGCTGTCTGGGCGCAGATATTGAAGAGTGGTAAGGCTGATTACATAAAATCAGGACTATATCAAGTCACATAAAGTTGTTTTAATTTATAAAAAGGAAAACATGGATTGACAGTACCAAACATTTTTTTTCTACCTTCAGTAACATACGTCTACATGGCTAGGTCCACACCTTACTATTCGCACAATTTGCAGAAGGTATTGCACATGAACTGTAAAAAAAAATATACAGAAAACAGTTTTCTTACTTCTAAGTGAAGTATACATTACATACAATACTAGAAGTCCTAACATTGACAATAGTACACTTAAAATAAATAAATAATGAAAAAAAAAATCTTTATTTCACATTGTTTTCTATACCTAATAATGTGGGCAGCTATGTTTATCCAAGAAGTTGTAGAAATTTAGAGTGAGGTAGTTCATCAAAGCCTACTTTAACGGTGATTATTACGTTCCAAGAGATGCAACACAAGCAAGCAGAGTCACCCTAAAATTCAAATTTGCATCTCCTGCAGTGGGATCCGAAGAGCGAACAAAATTAAGAGCACTTGGAAAAAAAAGGAAAAAGCCATCATGATACAGAAAGTGACCATTAATGCCTCACATGGGATTCGACTGCAAACGTTTCCGTTTTTCTTTACATTCTCCGGTAGTCTTCACATTCCTCTGCTGGCCATGATGACATACCACTCGACATTCTAGCACAGCACACTTCACAGCCTGGGTATAGTTTGCTGCTCCAGTCAGGGCTGGAGCAGCCTCTTCTCCGACATTCAGCTCTCCAGAAGGAACGGGCTTGAACTCGCACATTTCAACTGCAAATCCTTAATCGGTTACCGTGATTACAACTACAGATGCAAGATTTATCAAGGATTTTGGTACAAAGTGTGGCGTTTTCTACCAGAGCATTTCAAAGGATTGTTTTTCTCCCCCCCATTTTAAAGAGGGCGATCAAATATCCTCATGGTGAACTTTGATGAAAAACCTTGATAAAAACTGCCCTTTGTGGGTTTTAATCCAGTTTGTTTGCTATTTGTCATCTGAAGCGCAATTTATCTTTCCAACAGCCCACTCTTTTCAAATTTGCCTCTTACCAATGCAGTAAAAAAATAGATCATCCATTTCGTAAGTGAACCACCTCAAATATGATGGAATATTGTGGAAACGAGTTAATTTCACATAATCATGTATTAATAGAACTTCAAACGTTCGGTGTTCGAGTATTTTAGGAATGAATGCACCATAACTGCAGGCACTTCTCCTTTAATCACAAAAACAAAATCTGATAAGATGCCATTATTGCATATAATTCTTATATAACTTAGTCTTACTTTTTTCTTGGTGCTTCTGGTATTTCCACTTTATAACAGAACAGGGCAAAAATAATACAGCGCGCACATGCAGTTATTTTTTCCTGCGTATGGGACTCTCATTGCAGATTTTCATATTTACATTTCTTCTTGATCCTGGAAAGCACTATATTCTTGGCAAAAAGTAAACATCCTAAAAGCAGACGATGAGAAATTAAAATATATATACAGCACAAACACTAAATATAGTGCGTGATACTATCAGAACCAAGTTTCCAAAACTTAAAAACAAGTTCCACTGTTTAAACCCTATTTGTAATACTGTAACTTAGCGGCATGCAGGAAGTGCACCTAAATTAAATCCATTATCCTTTGTACTAGGCACTGTAGAATCCCTACATCCTGTAACAATGACTTATAGCCCCTTTTCACTCTAAAGTAAGAAAAACAGAAATCCCTTTACAACCCATTTCTTGTATACCTGTGCCCAGCATTTATAACTTTTGACCTGTTCCCACTGCCGAAATCCAGTTTGGACTCTCTTCGCTGAAGCTTCACGTCCGCAGTTTAAAGATCCTTCCCCACTGTCAAACTTGCAGATTCAGTCGAGCTAACCAGTGCAGATGAGTAAGTGGTCAGACAAGCACTAAGAACTGGCAGGCTTACAGTGGCCATTTCATTACATTGGTAAGGTTTAATCGCAAAGGACCTCAATCGTATTACGAAAGCAAATCCAAAACCATTTTAAAGCAATGAATTAGAAAGTCCAAGAATGCAGTTGTCTGAGGAACAACCAACATCTTACAGTATCTATCATATCATTCGCTTAAGAGCATATTAAGACAACTTAAACATGTAAAAAATTTAAGTTGAGTCTCTGCTTTAAACATTTTACATGAAAGCAATAATGACAGAATTTTCAGTTGTTTTCTAGACACACGAAAGTCAAACATTTATATTTCTACAGTGTGGATATATGTATCTTATACAATATCCATTTTCTGCTCAAAAGATGAAAACCAAAAAAAGATTCCTCCCACTTTGCAGCGTCAAGGAAGATGGCAAAATGGAAGATGTTTAAAATCACTTAAAAAGCAATAAAATAATAGCTCACCGCAAACTAAAATGAAAAATAAAGTTTTTAAAAAATATATTTACCATAAAATCTTTACAAATTATCTGAAGCATTCTACAGCAATATGGCGAAATAGAATCAATGTAGCTTAAAAAAAAGTGTTTCTGTGTGTACACGTTTTGAATCTCATGTACGGTAAAATACCTTAGTGTTTAAAACAATGGTGTTTTCCGGTTGTTTCCAGAAAAACAAAAAAGGTCACGATAATTTACAGCCTAAAATCAGCTTTCTGAAAAACCAAAAGAAGCTGGAGCGTTGTGAAAACTGGCCTAAATTCTATACCATCGAACACAAAGAGTGGGAGCGGAAAAGGAGGGCAGTCATCTGCAGCAGCCAAGAGGCCCAGAGGACGTCTCCAGGCTGCTGTCCGTGTCAGAAGCCAGGGTGGGGTCTGTGGACATGGAGGACACGTCATTGACGGAGGAGGACGACGAGGGATGCTGGGAGCCATTAATCACTGCTGCACCTGTGCTATGAGAAACACAGCATTAAATCAGAAATGATCGACTGCAGGAGGGCCGTTCTGCACACGCTTACACTTGCACAGGGTGACACATTCTGCAGAGAAACAGCTGGGGTGGAATAATCTTTCCTAGTCTGTTGGCATCTGGCGCCATCTAGTGGCCAACACTAAAAAGACCCCACAACTTCCCAGTTAAAATATTAACTGTGGAAACCCGAATAGCGATGGGGGCTCCAAAGAACAGATCGGCTCATTAAGACATTTGAAATATTTCAAAATATTTATCCCAGTATGCATATGCCGACTAGTTTTGAACCATTAAGCATTGCACCCACGTCATCTACACTCCTCGCTCCCAGGATGGGAACGCTTGGGGGACTGGGAGAAGATCTTCTAGCCCATATCAGATGGCGCAAGTCTGCCAGCACTTTCAAATTGTGTCTTAAAGCTACCCGCCCCTCTCGTTTCTGTGTACAGCACTTTGAGACGATGTGCTGCAGAAGGCGTTAAAAAGGGTCCTTCTGCCTTCTGATGCCCTTTGACATTGGCTCAAAACAAAGCAATAAAAGGCCAGCTTCCAGCATTCACAATAACGTTCCACGTGACTGCAGCATTAGTGCTGTTTCACGGTGCCAAAGGGGGATTCTCTCTCATTACTTTGGGTTTGATTTCACCTCCTTAAAAGCAGGGGAGGAACCCAAGCACGCAGTCAGGGAGCGCAGTGCTACAGTGAGTGAACGTGCACGCACTTCACAGCACTCCCAAACAGCAATTGGGTGAGAATCGCAGACAAAACGATCAGCTCTATCTCTACGGAGATGTGAAAGTTCTTCCTTTCCTGTGACCTTTCAAAGGAGTTTCTAATTTGCTCTGCAAGCGGCAGGAACCCCCCCCAGGAAACTACAGGGGATAAAGGCCCAGCAGAGCACGAAGCCGCTGCGCTGCAGGGTCTCTGCGTGAGAGGCAGTCGTGCCTGCTGCTCCACTAGCCGCTTCCCAACAACCTGCCCTCAATGCAAGGAGGAAATCAGTGAAGCTAAGCAGAATGAAACACAAAGCAACTCAGCCTAGTATGTATGATACACTATAAGGGGAGAGAAAGACACTAACATGATGTCCATTGTGGCAGCTCTACAGAATTTCACAGACATCTGCAGACATCAGAGCCCAGGCTTACAGGTCTGATCCTCCTGCCACCAGAGAGATCTGCCTTCAAGGACAGGGCTTAGAATTGGTGAGGAGGTGAAAAAAAATCATTTGATATGGGTCCTAATTTAAACTTTTACAGTTAAACTTTTACAGTTTACATAAACAGAAGAGGCGCACTTTCCTCAATTAAGCTCCACTATGCTACTGGTGGAGCAGGTCTTTTGCTCTTGAGGAGGGTGAAAGGCACTCGGGAGGCTCCGTCTGAAATTGAGCCACTCCAGGAGAATTGCACGTTCTCGCCTGTAAAAAAAACTGTTAACTAACCTAAAGAGGCCGGCTGTCCTCGGACCACACCGTTCTTCAGCCTCTCCTCCCACTCCAGGACTTCCTTATATATCAACTCTGATGAGCGAAAAACAGCAAAGCATTAAAACAGAACGTTTTCACTCTCTCCTCTACAACACCCGATTCGGAGAGGGCTTATTCTGCAACACACAAGTGTGCAAAATTTCTTTCAGGAATAGAAAGCAACGTAAGGCACACTAATTCAAGCCGGCAGCATCGGACTTCCAAACCTCCGCCGAGCCCCACAGTACAGCCACGTGACCAGCAGAGAGCCGGAGTCGAGAATAGAGCTCAACCACCAGACAACGTGCCTGCTAAAGCCATTTCAAAAGGTGTATAAGCCCTCAAAATATCACAAATGTGGCCAAACGCCTCACTTCAAAGTATGAGATTAGATGTTTGACGGTGTAGAGCAGAGACACTCGGATATTACCCTTCCATTCCTCCACCGCATGCTCTCTTTCATCCAGCTGCTTATCGGTAATCAGCGGCGGAGGCTACAAGACAAGGAACGTGGAACAGTGAACAGAATTAAGAGGCAGTTTAGCGGATTCAGCTATAAAGACGTACAGATGGACACATGGATATTATGGATATAATTCCTGAAGTGGTCGATAAATGTCAATTCCTGTACAATAGGGGAGGTGCACAACTGAGAACTTAAGGGGAGCACTAGGGAGCCCAGACTGCACAACCCCGGGGGGGGAAGACAGCCAGGACACCAGCGTTGGCACCCGTACTCCTCTGAACTTCTGCTGGGGGAGTATGAGTGCCAATAGTCAGGCTCAACACCTCAAGACGTCATTTCAATATGAACCCAGTTAACCACAGTCCAGAGGGGAGGCTAGCGTAGATCATGACAACAGTTGTAACCAGCACATCTTAATACAGAAATAAAGCAACAGCATTAACACAAAGCCATTTTTTCATGTCTGGCAGCAGAAATTGTTTCCTAAAGCGCCGAAGCCTCGTGCACACGAAGAGTGGGTGCCGTGAACAGCGCCCCGGCTACCAATTCGGAGGCGCTTCCTGCTCGTAAGGCGCATAGGCGCCCAAACTGCGCCGCTAGACCGGGGGGGGGGGGGGGAGACTGTGTCGCTATTCCACACCTAGCGCCACGCGGCGCACTTACCGCTTCCACTTCCGCGGGGTCGTACCAGACGTTGATGTAAGGATGCTGCAGCGCCTCGTCCACGGAGATCCGCTTGGACGCGTCGATCACGAGCATTTTGGATAAGAGGTCTCGTGCCTGGCTGGCTGTAACACAGCAGGTTACGAGCAAGAGTCAGCTGCGCATTCAAGCAAACGCCAAGATGCACCGGCTGATAAAACACATTTAAACCGAAAACATGAGAATACAAAGCTTGTAATAGAGATGATGCCAATTAGTACATCCTTCTCTATAAATCAACCATTTCTTACCTGCATGTTATTTACTGCTCGACAGACATTGTTAGCACTCCGTGCTGCACAGACACTTGCGCCGTCTGTCTATTTTTTTACCGTGCAAGAACAATTTTGCATTTACTTTATGCATTTAATCCTATTTCATAAAATCCCCCTTGATACGGATATGCATTGAGCAAATACATTGGAATAAAATAAGACCACTTTTGACCACCAATCTTATAATGGATACCTGCAAATGTTGATAAATCAGTGCTCACACACACCACTGGTTTCAAACATCTGGTATTGGAGGTATTCAGACTGATGATTCGTATAAAAATACCTTCAATTCATGACATACAGTAGCTCACAAAAGTATCCTGTTGTGTCAAAATAAAAAAAAATGCGCTTTTTTAAGTTAATATTTTATTCAAAACTTGAATACTGAAGACTTTTAAGGTTAGGATAAATTACAGTAGATGTCTCCTGCAATTCTCTATGACCTTTGCACATTGCTTTGCTGTATTTTTCCTATTATACACAGCAGATTTGTTCAAGCTCTGTCAAGTTACTTGGGGGTCACTTAAGGACAGCAGTTTTCAATCTTTCCACAGAATCTCAAAAAGATTTAAGTCAGGACCATTCACTTTCTAATTCTTAAGCCACACCAGCGTTGCTCTGGCATTGCGTTATGGATCTGTGTCCTGCTGTGTGTTTGCTCCAGTTCTAGGTCTGAAGCAGTCTGCCAGTACTTTGCTCTATGTTCCCATCAGCCTTGACAAGCTTCCCAGTCCCTGCTGATGAGAAGCAGAACTCTTGACATATCGCTGCCACCATGCTTAACAGTAATGATAATGTTGACTGAGAGAGGTGCTTGGGTTTGCATCAGATGTAAAGCTTTGCATTTTGACCAAATGCTTCAATTTTGTCTGATTTTTGTCTGATCTGACCACAACACCTTCTGCCACATTTGAAGGAGCTGTGTTGTAAACTTTTCAGGATTTGAGATGCTTATTTTTCTGTTCAACACAAGCGCCCTTGTGGAGCGACCAGGACACTGTTGACCAATGGACATTTTTTTCCATCTCAGCCGCTGAACTCTAAAGTCGCTGGTGACCTCACAGCAGGCATGCCTTTCCTGTCTCGCGGCCGGTATCGCTCACCAATTT